GGTCATTTCATATATAGCTTATAACCCGTACAGAATTGAACTAACATTAATTTTCATGCCTTAAATCAGTCATATGTAATCCCAGGGGTCTTTGCTTATTTTTTCTTTGCCAGTAAATAAATAAGTCCTGTATATCAGAGGTTTTACAATTTTGGCTTATGCTTTAGGTCCTTTTCACTTGTGTAGTGATTTTAAGTTAGAGAAGATATCTAGAATAAGTCTCAATTCTATTGTAGCTGGCAAAGTTTTATAAAAATTCAGTTGCAACCAAAGAAAGGCTCTTAAATCATCAAAGCCATGCTAGTGTATATTTACAAGTGGCTGTTCAACATGTTGCCTTATGGTTTCATTGAATTGAAATGGGAAGCTGTGGAGACAAATATGTGGCTTTACATCTTTTTAATTGCTTGCTTTAGAAGTTCTGTGCTACTTCTGCCTTAGTAAAGACTTGGCTTAGTTTTACATGTACGTGCTAGAACCAAATACAGAGTTGTAAGACCTGGGGAAATAATTGTCAGCCCAGTGCTGAACTGGATAATAGTACAAGATTATATATGAGTAGTCTTCTATGTGGGAAGCTGTGTTTTCTAGCCATGTTATTTGATCTTCATAAGATCCCCTCTCTCAAAAACAAATAATTTTGATGACTAACCAGTAAAAATTTTGAACCATCTATTTAGAAAAATAAAAATGGATTTTTTCCCCCTAACCATTACCTTTAGTCAGCTTGCTTTTTAACTTGTGTGAAATATCTTTTGGAGTGAATTAAGATTATATGTGTGATACAGTCGCTCTCAGATCAATTTAAAAGTTGCAAAATAATGTGAGCAGATTTCTTTGTAGATATGTCTATATCTGAATTGTTTTCTTCTTTTTTTCTTTTTTTCTTTTTTTTGGTTGGTTGTGGGGCTTGAACTCTGGGCCTGGGTGCTGTCCCTTAGCTCTTCAGTTCAAGGCTAGTGCTCTACCACTTGGGCTACACTTCCGGTTTTCTGGTGGTTTATCGGAGAAAGGAGTTTCATGGACTTTCCTGCCGAGGCTGGCTTTTAACCTGAATCCTCAGATCTTAGTCTCATGAGTAGCTAGGAGGTGTGAGCCACCAGCGCCCGGCTTTTGTTTTCTTCTTAAAGAGATTCATTCCTTTACTGCTACTTCAAAACCTGAGTGTAATTGTCTTTGCCCTCAGAAGAATACAGGAGAGCTAGGGGCCTCTTATGTTTTTTTTTGTTGTTGTTGTTGTTATGTTTTTGGTTTTGGTTTTGGTTTTTTTAGTCTTGAGAATAAAACAATATTCCATTTTCCCAACGTGATGTATTCATACGTCACTTGGGAAAGATGTTAAAATTTTTCTAAAGTCAACTCATAAATTTTATAATTGGCAAATACTTGGTGGCCAGTAATTAGAAATTCTGATAGAATTTGAGAAGTATCTTCAAAAAGATACTTAGAAGCAAAATGATGCTAGAAATTAGATTGAGCTCCGTCGTAGCCAACCGAGCCTCTTTGTGGGTCACTTTCTTGGTGCTGCAGCAAATCTTCCCTGTGAGGGCCTTCTCCTGGCCTGGGAACATGTTGTTGTGACAGCTGCCAGCAAATGCAGAGTGTTATAATATCCTTTATGTAGCTATAAAAGAAAAAGCATTTCTTGATGATAAAAATACAGATCACAGAAAATTAGGAAATTACTAAATTTTTTTCTCCTGACTTTTTCACATTATCAAATATGGTAAAGTAAAAAAAAAAATTGTTAGCTATTTTCATTGTCTTCTACTATATGTATGCAGGGAAGACCAGGTTGTAAACGTATTTCCTTATAGTTTCCTTTGCTTAGATTTCTTAAACATAACCCTTCTCTAGAGATTGTGAACATAATTCTATGAGATTGTGAACATAATTCTATTGATGAGTCTTTGAGCTTGAAGTATGGCTACAAGATACTGTTCAGCAGCTGTGGAGGTCATTGGAAATTTCATCTTTAATACTCATTTGAATTTTTTTAACTCTAAGTACCACCAAAAGCACATAGACTTATTTATACCATAAGGAGCATTCTGTTGTGAATGGATGGGCTGTTTTGTATGGCCATAATTAAACCTGCACACAAAAGGCATGAGGAACTTTTATACAGACAGTATGAACATAATGTAAGAAATCAATGGATTAAGTTCCTTATCATGGCTAAGCAAATGTCTCTCAAAAAACTTGAATTTCCCTAAATATCAGCTCACTTTTGCATTTCAGTCACTTACTCTTGGTATGTGAAGAACACCAACTTGTCAGGTTGTCGTTTTTTCCTTCCTCTACCCTCTTGCCACTTCTGTGGCCATGCTTCTAAAGTACCTGCATTACAAATGGAAATAACATCTGGAAGGTTGGTATGTACTAGTTGGAGCATTTAAACAGTATTTTGAGGGGATTCAAACCTCTTTAACATCATTGTTTTAAGTTACTGCTGGGCTGTGATGAGTTATTGAGTCTTTCCCATCCCCTTCATGATCTGTGGTTCACCTTTTGTCCTATTCATATGCACATTTTAGGATTTCTTTTCAGTACAAGTAATTTTCTGATTCAGGTTTGATACATTATCACCACTTTGTGAATAAATGAGTGATATGATGAATGATTGCAATTGTAGAATTGTATGTAATGTACATATGCAGAAAGAATATTTTGTTCATTTTCTTAATAAAATTATATATGGACACAGGATGTCGTGCGTTTTCCAAAACTCGTCAGCATTTAAAATATTTGTGTATAGTTTTTGTACTTTTCCCTCAAAGGGTGTTTTATTCAAGTACACATGTTCTTGGCTTTGTGACAACTCCAGACTTCAGGAGTTGTCAGCTACTTATTCAAAAATAGATGTGTAACCCACATCTCACTGCATAGTTCTGATTTCTAGGGTATGCTTTGAGTGTGGCTCAGAAATAACATTTCTTTGTGTTCTCAAAACGGGAAAACATGAGGTACAGTGATAAGGCCCTTTCCTTGGTTAATCCAAAGAACTCAAAGGGATCAAAAAGAGACACCTTCACAGCAATAAGCTTCATATGAGATGTGTGGTGACGTATGTCAGCTGTGAGCTGGTACTTTACACCACCTGTGCTTGTACTCCCTTGACTTTTTCTAAGATACAACCACATTATTCATAGAAACTGGTGGTATGGGGTAGTAGTGGGGGAAGTGGGAGGGAATGCCGGGCCTATGGTATAAGTCCTGGTAGAGGTTGAAGTATTGGCAGAGGCTGTTCACTTTCGCTAACACTGCACTGCCTGTTATATGTCTTAGAAAAAAAGAATGAGTGGGACTATGTTGTAGACCATATTTGGAGTTACACTGCCATTACTGCCCTTCAGGTGGCCTGTCCACTGGTCTGTTTTGGCTATTGGAAAACCCCAAATGGAAGACTTCTATACTTGGTCACTTCTTAACTTGTGGCAGAGAATGGGCAGCCTTGGAGACATTGAATTTTGTTATCTCCATGTCCACAAACTTCTATGTAATGTTCAGTAGTCTTGAAATTGTCTATAATTTGCAGGTCTTGCTTGCCAGGGACACTGGAAAATGCTATCTCAGTATTTACCACTAATGTTCATTTAGAGTAGCCAGAGGCAAGCTTTGAAAGGACGGTATACAATGTGAAGTGTGAATGTCAGACCTTTAAAATGCCAACAGTGAGAGCACCTTGGTAGGGTACAGGGAACAGGGTCAGTGACTGCCTCAGGAAGAGAAGTCTTAGATCCAATTTGTGGCCATGATAAACTGAGTCACTGCTAGAACAGTATGCCTGAGCCAGGCCAGGTCCTGTGGGAGTTGTTGGCACTTATGATAGGGTCCTTTCTGTATTCTTGGCGCACTCAAAATACCCTGGCCCAAGTCCGGCTTCAGCATGTCTGCTGCCTGTCAGCACTCCTAGGTGAAAGAAATCACATAGTAACATCAGTCTTTGTAGCTTAAAGATGAAATGAATTTTATGTTTGAACTGAAAGGTGAATATAGAAACTGAAAGGTGAATGTAGAAAATGTAGCGTGGGGGCTGGGAAGATGGCTCAGTGGTAGAGTGCTTGCCTTGCATGCCTGAGGCCCTGGGTTCGATTCCTCAGTACCACATAAGCAAAAAAGAAAAAAGCCGGAGGTGACGCTGTGGCTTAAGTGGTAGAGCGCTAGCCTTGAGCTGAAGAGCTGAGGGACAGCGCCCAGGCCCAGAGTTCAGGCCCCACGACCAGAAAAAAAAAAAAAAAGAAAGAAAATGTAGCGTGGAAGGGAAAAAAATGGAGTCAAGGCTTAAGACTCATTGCAGTGGCTATGCAAACCCAGAGAATAATTAGTCTCTCATTTCTCCTTGTAAGGTATTATTTCTTATGATAGGAAAGTGTTTTGTAAACTAAGATGGAGGCAAAAGGAGAGATTTTGTGTCTAGTAACCAAAATAGACCAACTCAGCCTGGCAGTCATTTCCCTCCCGCACGCTGGGAATGTTTCCCTGTCCTGGAAGGGGCAGGTGACAGTACCACCCCCTCAGTGCTTCCTCTGTACCTGTAGGACAGACAGGCAAGTACAACAGATCCTTTTATGGGCAGAAACAGCCAGAACAGAGCTGCTTGTCTTACATTTTTATTTGTGTTTGTCTCTTGGCCTGTGTTTCTGTTCTGCTCAGAGTTCAGTAGCTCCCAGGGAGATATTTGGTAGTGGTGACTCATGGTTGTATCCAAGGCAGAACCGAGGAGAACAAATGTGTAAGAGTAAGACAGCCTTGGGGAGACACTGAGGTCCTCTTAGTTAAAAATCCTGGACAGCCTGGGGTGGTGTGAACTGTCACCACCTCCAAAGTCCCCTTTGTCCAGCTTCTCCCTTATCTCTCTACCATCACAGATCAGGAAATCATCAAGACAGGGATTGCTTTATGCATGGAGTTAGGGGTGATAGAGACCTGATGTGTTTCACTGATGAAGCATAGGTAAAGAATTTAAGCCAATTGGAGCAAAATACTAAGACTTGAACGAACTTAGACAAAAGCATTTTAATTGACAGTGTACAATTTTCCAAAATATATTTTGTAAGAAAATGCAATTATATAGTCTTTACAAACAAGTCTCTCTTATAAATTCCAGTGTACTTCAGACCCCTGTCCACCAAGACACTTGTTCCCTCCATCTCCTAGGCAAACTACTTAATATTTCACTAGTAACAAGAAAACCCCTGTGAAATGGGAACCCTCTCTTCCCCAATGCTGGGTTTTCAGTAGACCTGAGGGACTCACCTAGTGGCAGCAACAAGTTGCACCCTGGTTTTGCTTGTCTTCTCTGCCGTTTCCTATCTTGTTCCCTTTGATCCGTGGCTCTGCTAAATGCAAGCTCAGTTCAGCTGTCTGGGCAGGAAGATCCAAATGCCCCGAGGAAATGTAAAGGACCAGTAGCATTACCATTTTTGCCTTCATCCTCTCCCCCATCTTGCCAAGAATTTGGGGGAAGGAATGATACCAATTTCTGGTGCCTTGAGTAGCAGACCTTCAGAGGACATTAAGTTCATGGACTCAGGTTTTAACATCGTTTCTGTCACTGCCTGTATGATTTCAAACAATTTGCTACCTTTGTGGATAACAGAATTACTCCAGCCTAAGCAACTGACTCTAGCCCTCACTACAGTGGTACTGGGACTTTTAAAATTAAAGCCCTATATATAAGATACATACATATTTATCACCAGTTGTAATTTTTTTCATTAAAAAAAAACTGTCAGTTCTAGTAATAGACATTTACATCCTTGTTCAGAGGGGGAAAATAGCTCTTTTAACTAACCTGTTTTTCAAAGTATTCACTTTAAGCAGTGAGGGGAAAATTAATATGTGGCTGTAATATTTACATTGTCATAAAATACGAGTATGTGTTTAAACTTGTTCTTCCAAGTTTTTAGTGTATTCTCCCCACCCCCAGTGATAAAGCTCAAGCTTTCTTTAGAAGGGAAAAAAACCCCAGAAATACCTAGATTGAAGCAGACTCTAGTCTGTACCTCCTTTGTAAGCAGGAATGCTCAGTGCTGGCAGGATTCTCCCAAGAGCGTGATGCCTTCTGTGTAGTCCCACCAAACTACTCAAGCCTGTGCTTTTTGCAGCTTTGAGGAAACCAGTTTGCCACTGTAACAGCGCTAATTTCTTTGGTACAACTGATTGTAAAGTCTTGATGAGGCCCTGTTCCTCTTACCTCTTCTTGGTCCAGATTATCAGAGCACCGAAAACCCAGTGAAGGTGAAGAAAGAAGACTCAGAGATGCTACTGCTATGACCTATCGATGGTATGTTGCTGGTATGACCCATGATATTTAAGTGACAGCAAGCCAAGGCCAGGTAGCTAATTCTAAAATCGCGCTCAAAAAAAGCAACACAAATTAGACTTAAGTAAGGAACTTTAGGTCATCCTCAAGCTTCCTCAGGCTCTCTGTGGGCTCCGCCATGGTCATTCCTCTTTACCAGATAGCATTTCTGCTCCCTCCTGCTGACATTGGGCTTTTATCTGAAGCATGTCAGTTACAGCCTTTCACCAGTTTGAGGGAAAAGTTTTCACTGTCAAACTGCTGGTGATTATAATTCAGAACCACCCAAGTCCACTGTGACAGAAATAGGGACAGAACCAAATGCTGGGCAACAAGGAAGGAAGCAGATCTCTTTCCAGAGTAACAAGATCTCTATTGACCCCAAAACTAGCACTGCTTTCTATCCTAACCCATTTCTACCTCCTAAGAGAAGCAGGGCACGTGTTTAGACCCTGGTTTGCCGTACTTAGCATCTCTCAACTCTTGGGAGACTCTGGGGCTTCCTTATTATCTCCTGGAGCATTAGAGCAGTTACTGCTATAAAAAAGGGACCAGGCCCCTGTGAACTCCACTGTTTATTTAAGTAAGCTGCCCCAAAGTCCAGAGCTGGTTCCAAGGAATTTACACCCTGGAGCGATAGATATGTCACAAGTTGAAATTTTCATACAGGGAACTAGATGAAACTTCCCTATGTCTAGTCTGCAGGAACCTACAAGGCAGCTGACTGCTCAGCTTAACAACACTGTGCTGAGATACTGAAATGGCTTTGTGTTTCCCTGAGATGCCACCAGGAGCTAGGGAAAATTATAGTGGCCCCACCAAGAACAGAGAAGAGCAAAGCCTAGCTGTAGGCCCAAAGAATGGGAAACTGTCATGTTAATAAGATGCACTGCACTGTGTGTTCTGAACCTTCCTTTCTCTTTGGCAGGAGAAGCCAAATTAGTGAGATTAGTCTCCATTGTTCAAGCTTTGGCAGTGGAAAGCTGAATTAAACAATACTCAGCAACTTGAAAAGTCCCTGATTCCCTGTGAAACAATAATGCCCAACTTGTAGCTGTTTCAATGGATTGTCTATTGAGATGCATTTGCTGATCAAGGCCCTGGGATAGATCTGTTCTCTAGACTTGCTCTTTGACACCAGGCCTTCCTCATGGATTTACCCCATCAACAAGCAGTGAATTTTAAAAAAAAGGCATCTTGTTTTCAGTAGTTGCTATAGATTTTAAGTCCCTGGTAGGAGATATTGGAGAATATCTTCAAGAATTGCCTTGGAATAGGCTAGTGTTAGTGCTGAGTCTCAACTTGGCTGCTATGAGCTGTTTAACCTGGGATGAGAAGCAGCCCCTTCTCACCTTCCCATCCCTTAAGCAGACCTTTCACAGGGTGTGAGGTAAGTCTCAATCTCATTAGGCAAATACAGGAAAATCAGAACCAAACAAAATCCAGAAACGGGGTGGGGGGTGGGGGGGCTAATTGCAGGGACTCTGAGATACAGTGAGTAAAGCAAGGTAAGTAAAGATGTGGGGAGTGGAAGGTAGAAGGGACACTAGAAGACAAGTCTGGGGTTGGACATGGAAATTCAAGCAGTATCCTTTGAACAATCAGATCCCACAAGACAGGATACAGACGCGTTGTCCTTCCCACCCCTTGGAGTATCATCCCCTGCCTGGGAGAGGCCTGGGTGAACACAGCAATGTGGCATGATACAAACAAGCACTAGACCAAAGGGAGAACTATTTGCCACCAAGTGACCCTATGCAAGTTACTTGGCAAGTCTTTTCGGCCTTAGTCATCTCACCCACAAAATGAAAGGATTCTATAGAGGACCTCTAAACTCCCTTACATGGCTTTCTCCTCTTTCTCTTAGTCACGTTCCAGCAGCTCTGAACTCAGGCACTACAGGATTGTTTTATAAGTGGAATCTAGACATAATGTGATTTGTTTGCTTGAAAAGGAAAAAATTAAGGCCCTGGGGGATTAGGAAATGGTAATCCTCAGAGTCCCCACTCTCTCCGTCTTTCCCTTCTCTAATAGAGAGGAATTTTCCTCCTCGGTCCAAATGGCACTTCAGGTGGTCAATCGAGCTCTGATGCTGTTGGGAGGTGGTCAGCAGACCCAGTTAGAGGTGTGTATCTTCTTCCTCATCGAAGTCATCCTTAGTCAGGTTGTCCAGGGGCACGATCCAGCTGTCTCCCAGCTCCCCATTAAGGTTGACTACCTTCTTCTCTTGCATCTCTGAAGTAGTCTCCATCACTTCCAGGGTTGGGTTGTCATGGTAGCCATTCTCCACTGTCTGCAGCTCCTCTGTCAGTCGTTGCTAGAGTGGGCACAGGGACCCCAGGAGAAAGGGCAATTTTGGAGGGCCATGAGACAATATAGTCTTAATATAGCATACCCTCATTCATCCTAGGGACCCCCATTAAACTTAAGCATTGACATTGCTTATATATGGGACTGACTGCTCCTTCTTAACTTGGTCTCTCAGAGAGACTTGCTTGTATCCTAAATAATTTCCCAACAGGTCTCACCTTTGCCCAGGTGGCAAACTTATGGAAAGAGATGTTTGAAGAGAACTTTTTGTTTCTCAGCTCTTTAGTATTCTTAAACCAAAACACTTCTCCAAGCTCCTATCTTGCCCCATAGGAATGTGTGGGCAAGACTGTAAGACATCGCCCTCCCTTTTCCTTCCTCCTTCCCCTCCCCCTACCCCATTTATGCAGGAGACCATTCTGAAGCTCAGAGAAACTTGTGGCTAACTCAGGGTCACACTATGAGTGCAGACTGAGCCAGAGGCTTAGTTAGAACCTGTCTCTGCCTCTAAAACCCTGCTCTTCTTCCCAACCATGCCTTCCTCTCCCAGGTTGGATGCAAGCAGGCCTCTCCGTGGGCATGCAAGGCTCTCCCTGCCAGAAGAATCCAGGCCCACTCACTTTCCCCTTCATCACACAGAGTGAGGAGGTGAGGGATCGTCCAGTGATAGAGCTGCTCCCCTGGCTTACCTGGTCCTTCCTCTGGGAAAGGCGCTGGTGGCAGCAGCCATAGAGGGCTGCAACAAGCAGCAAGAAGCAGGCCATGCAGACAATGGTGATGATGAGGGGTATGCTGAGGTGATCCTCATCATCTATGGGGCTGTCATTTCCCAGCTGCATGTCACTGACTCCCGCCTGGCCAGGAAAAATAAGTTACATAGCCAAAAGTGGAGTTTGGGGCCCATCTGTGTGAACCCAATTCATTCATGGGCTCATCTGTGTAGGATCTGCCACCTTCCCCCTCATGCCCCCATAGACCCTCAGACCGTGCATGGCGTAGGAATTCTCCACACTGAGGGCACTGCGCTCCAGGCAGTGCCTGACAGCCTGCTTACCTCCTTTAGGACATCCCACTTGTCCCTCAGCCGTTCATACACATCCTTGGGAAGCAGTTTTGCTGTGGATGAGAGGGAGAGCTGCTGCTTACAGGTCCAGCTCCAAGTGAGATGGTGAGGATGAAAATGAGTCCCCAAGAGGACATACTACATGTGTCCCAGTCTCTTGTGTCCCCAGGGAGGATACATGGTTTGACAACTCTTTGGAAACAGGAGCCACACTGACCCACAGTGAGACTCCTGGACTACCCCCTCCTTCCCTATTCCCACCCACCCAGGCCTCGGCCCCGGCACTTGACTCACTTTCAATAGTTATTCCTTTCACTGCCACAGCCTGGCTTTCTAGAACACATGCCAGCGTTATAGTGCACTCATCTTGAGCCGGATTGAAGTTGGCTTTGACTGACTGGCAGAGCAGAGAGACGAGCTTGTCATCTGGAGGACTCCCTGCCTGTTGTGGAGAACAGATGAGAGCGGCGGTGTGGCAGCCTCTGGCCACTCTGAAACAGATCCCCTTCTCACGTTCCCTCCTGGGCCAGTCTGCCTTCTCTGCTTCGTTCCAGCCTCTTCCCCTCACTTCTCAGTCTGTTTATCTTCTCCCTAGTACCCTTTCCATCCTGTAAGTACTCCATCAGAACCGCTGCCATGCCCTGCCTCTGAAATAGAAGGGGCAGGAGAGGCCTTGCACAGCACACACCACTACCAATGAGAGAATCCCTGAACCGGCCTCATTCCCGGCCAAGACTTCAGGAGGTGATGGCCACAGCTTTCAGCTCAAGGGGGACTGTCCCCTAAATGTCCCTGACCCTTCCCTAGGCCAAGGCTGAGGTGACACACAGGCTGACAGGGAAAGCAAGGTACCACTGAGGGGGGCAGTATAATAGCGGGGGTCATTAAGATATACAGGAGATAGCTTACACAGCCGTAAGTAGAAATGACATAGCAGCATGATTTTGAAGCTGAGGGTGTGTATTAAAATTTGGACAACTTTTACCCCATCTACCAAGTCATCAGAGCTTCTCTTCCTGCCTCTCTGACCTGATTGTGGAGTGAGAAGCCAAGATGAAAGAAAGGACTTTTTGTTTATTTACTGGTACTTAGGATCAAATCTAGCTATGAAGCCTTGGGGGGGGGGGGGGGGGGGGAGGTTGAAAACAAAAAATCTCATTTGGAGTCGAGCACCAGTTGCTCACACCTGTAATCCTAGTTACTCAGGAGGCTGAGATCTGAGGATTATGGTTCAAAGCCAGCCTGGGCAAGAAAGTCCTTGAGACTCTTATCTCCAATAAACCACTCGAAAACTGGAAGTGGTGCTATAGCTCAAATAGTAGAGCGTAGAGTGTGCTCACCTTGAGCTGAAGAGCTGAGGGATAGCCCCCAAGCCCAGAGTTCAAGCCCCACAACTGACCAAAAAAACAAACAAAAAAACACACCTCATTTGGAGCTCTTGATCTTCCTACCTCAGCCTCTTAAATGCTGGGACTAAAAGCATGTGCCACTATACTTGGCTAGTCAAAGACTATCATGGAGCTTGAACTCTGGGCCTAGGCAATGTCCCTGAGCTATGTCCCTGTGTTAGGCTAGTGCTCTAACACATTGAACCACAGCGCCACTTCCAGTTTTCTGGTGGTTAATTGGAGCTAAGAGTCTCACAGGCTTTCTTGCCCAGGCTGACTTGAACCAAGATTCTCATATCTCAGCCTCCTGAGTAGCTAGGATTACAGGTGTGAGCCAACAGTGCCCAGCTAGTAAAGGACTTTGAGGCCTGGATTTCCTCAAGACTCATCTCAAAAACCTCTGGGGTTTCTCCCTACAACTTCCTTAAGTTTTATAAATCCCCACCAACCTCAAGAAGGGATCTAGGACTTTCTTCTCAAGCAAAGGGGAGAAAATGCTTCTTATAAACACATCCTGCCAGATTCAGCTCAATGATTATCTCCAGGTAAATCTTAATGCCATATCTGCCTTATCCTAAAAGCCCAATCTCAAGAGAATTCTGCACCTTTTAAAAACCCTAATAATAAAAAATGTACTTCTGTAAGGTTTACCTGGACATCCAAAAGAAAACAAAGGGGGAAAACACAGGCAGAGTCCAAATTCTCCAACCTGTAGAAAGTCCTGTTCTGGCTAAGAATAGTTATGAAAACAAGCACTGGCCAGGAGAGGGCAGCAGTGAGCCATTACTAGGCTCTAGGGCTTGTCACAGCTTAAGGGCTCAACAGGTGACACTATCCCTTGGAGGCTGCCTGTCCGAAGGCAGCTGCATACACTGTTATACCCTCGCCTACAAATGTACTTTTATGCACACACACCACCAAAGTCCAAGAACCATAGGTTCAGCATAGAACCTTGGCTCCTCAGGTTGTAGACTGGTTGAAAGCTGAGGCACCTAGAAAGTGTAGGACCTAGAAATACAAAACCACTAGTAGAACAGCGTATTTGTTAGGCAGACTTTTTTTGGTGTTAGTACTGGGAATTGAACTCCGCACCTCTCATTCCACCACTCAAGCCATACCCTGAGTCCTTTTGCACTCAATTTTTCAGGTATGACTCAGTAACTACATGACTGACTTTGGACTTGCAATCCTCCTATGTCTACCTCTAGAGCAGCTGGACTTTTACCACTATGCAAAACCTTTTAGACTCTCATTTCCAAAAAGGCCAACTTACTGAAGTCATACTAGGAAAACAGCAACTAGGAGCAGGGTCTCCTGACTGTTCAGTCTACAAAGAAAGCCAAGTTCTAGTCCTGTGGCAGTTCTGTGCATGTGTCTTGACTTAAAGTGTGAACCTTGATTTGTTGTGCTGTAACATGCGGGAAGAGACAATCCCTGTGGAAACCCACGGCTCTGTCCCTTTGCGAAGGAACCCTGTGCCCTCTGCCTCGCTGCCTTGCTGCTCACAGGGTGTGCCGGGGCTGTCAGGGGTTACTCACGCAGAAGCTGGCCGTCGTGAAGTTCAGAATGAGCAAGTCATCACTTGGCTTTACAGCAGGATCACATTTTACCTAAGTGTGAGATGAAGGTTCAGAGCCAAAGTCAGCAGATCTAGACTCTTCCCTCCCCATGGTAGGTGAGTGGGTGACAACAGGAAGGTGGAGCACATGGCGATCTGGGTGTGGCCGGTGGCTATGCAACCTTGGGCAAGGGGGAAGAAGGGAGCTAATAGACTATGGTTCCCCACAGGCGCAGCCATGGCCCTGAGCCGGGGGAAGAGAAACACTTTTCTTGTGGTCCGGGCTCTCTTTCTTGTCCTGCCTCTGCGGGAATTACCTTGTTCTTCCCAACAGTCCACGTGGGAGAGGGGGTACTGAAGCCTTGGGGAGCGGTTGGAGCCAACTTAGTGTTGAGCCCTGTGGGCTCCCAGAAAGCAGGTGTGGCCTGAGTTCTTGCTGCAGAGCTGGTGGGCTGCAGTGCCACAGAGATAGATGGTTCTGGGCTGGGTGGCATCTGGCTGAAGGGCTGCTGAGGCCCTTGAGAGGTGCCTGGCAGTGCTGTAATGAGCAGAGAAGAGGCTATGAGGAGTGGCTGATGCCCTGTGGAGCAAAGGACAGTTTTGTCGCTCCCGAGTTAGGAGCTGGAGTTAGCAGGCTCTGAGGAAGAGGTGCCGTCATTAACCTATTTATGAACAAGAAAGCCAAGGCTGTGAGGGCTCAACGATTTACCCATGATCATGTACCCACAGATGGCACAGTGAGGATTGAGATTTACCAAGTTCAGAGCCTTACTAGAGGGCCAGGATACCCTCTCCCCATGTAGAAGGCTGTACACTACAGGGTGCACCTGTGTCGCCTGAGAAATGCCAGGCTCACACCTGGAAATTCTCAGACAGTGGACTGAAAATCTTCAAAACTCATGGGAATTCATTTACTAGATGAAGACAAAAGTGGTTCGTACTTTGGATCCCTGCTATACTAGGAAGGTGACAATTGATGTTAGCTAAAACAAAATGTTAGCAAGACCCTAACCCAACCAATAAGCCAGGTATAAGGGTTCACATCTCAACGGTGTAGGAGGCCATAGGTAAGAGAATTGTGGTCTAGGATGGTCTGGGAAAAACTAACTAAAAACTAACCAAAAAAGGCTAGGGTGCCCACTTAGCAAGCAGAAGGCCCACTATAATGGAACGCAAGAGAGAAAACGAAAAAGGGAGGGGAGGGAAGGAGGGAAGGGAGGGATGGAGGGAGGGAGGGAGGGAAAAAAAGAAAGGAGAAAGAAAAGGAATAGAAAATAGCTGGATTGTAACAGTCCTACTTAGCAAAACATATTTTGTACATGTGTGTTATACATGTGTATTTTGGGTGAGGATATAACATTGTTTTGTGGTGGGTTGTCAGCAAACCAGTCTGATAAGCACTGCTACCTCATGCTGCACTGCCACACGGTCCTGCCTGGGGATGCACCCTGGCTTGTTTAAGTGCTGCCCTGAGCAGGCCAAAACACACTGCATTGGCACCTACACCCTGCTGGCCACTGCTCGGCCATGAAAAGGAAACTTAAGTCTACATCTGCAACCGCTCAGGAGAAATCTCTTTCCTCTATCTGAGCTGGAAAACGACCACCAAATAGGTTTTCTTTGGGAAGAAACCAAACCTGCAACACTGAGGCACTACTTACTATGTGAGGTGAACATCTCTTGCATTGTGGGGGTGAGGTCAAGGCTGGATCTTGGACTTGAGCTTGTAGTCTCCATGACTGAGCCTGATTGTCCCTCAGGAGGGCTCTCTGGGGCCTCTGAAGTGACATTAGTCGATGGATGAGGGCTTGTTGTGATGAACACATGAGGAGCAGAGGTTGCAGCCTGTGTGGTCAGCTGGTCTCCTCCCTGAGTGGTCATGGGCTTAGTGGCCACAGGACCATTACTCTGGTCTCCAGAGAGAGTTGATGCTTTGTCTCCACTCTGGGGGCCTGTGGTTGCAGGGCTGGTTGAGGCCACAGAGGACGCTGGATGCGTAGAGCTGTTGACCTCGGTGCCACTGGCGGTGGTGGGGCTGTCCCCAGTGGGTTTCTTACCCAGGCTGGAGGACAGTGTTGTGAAATTCTGCTGAGCTGCAGCTGACGTCATTTTGGGGGTTGTGGATGCTTTGGTGCCACTTTCCAGGACTGGTACTGAGACGGTCGTTGAACTACTGGATGTTGGGGCCATGGTGGCCATAGTAGTAGGCTTTTGAATGGAAGAGTTCTGGTTGCTAGTTGGTGTGGCTGTGGAGTTATCCTGGGACTGGGACTGGACTACTGTGGACAAGACAACGGAAAAAAAAAAAAAAAATCAAGACAGGTTGTTAAGCAGAGCTTTTTTCCAGCTCATCCTATCCCTCCCATTTTCCTTACTGTAGACCTGGGTTGTTTGTGGGTCCAGACTTTTCTCCAGAGATCTCTAAAAGGGAAGCTGGGAGTGAAGCGCTCTCTACTGGGAAGGTGGTGGTAACTAGGAAGGTGCGGCAGGCAGTCTGGCTGCAGTGTCTTCTCTGTCCTGGGGTCTGCCGCACTCCTCTCCCCACACCCACAGGGCACGCGTATGTGGATGATGCATGGACTTCCCTGGCCCAGAGGCACACAACCTTTCCCAACAGAGAATGATGGATGGGGGCTCCACAGACCACTGTCTCAGTCCCACAGCTGGGCTAAGGCAGAGAAGGGCACAGCATTTGGGCTGTGATTCGCATGGCTAACAGAGGTCACGGAAGGAAGACCTTATTTAGTTGGCTGTTTAGCAATGTGTTTATTGAGGACACTGTTTCAGGATGAGTCCAATGTTGGGGCCAACAAATACAATGGAGAACCAGACACACAGCAAAAGTCTGAATTAGACTGATCAGTTGTTGTTGTTGATGGTGGTCATGGGGCTTGAACTCAGGGCCTACTGCTGGTCCCTCAGCTCTTCTGCTCAAGGAGGCACTCTACCACTTGTGCCACAGCGCCACTTCCAGTTTTCTGTGATTCGAGTCTCAGGACTTTCCGCCCAAACTGGCTTTGAACCGTGATACTTAGATCTCGGCCTCCTGAGTAGCTAGGATTACAGGTGTGGGCCACCAGCGCCCAGCATTAGACTGATCTTGACAGGGAGGAAATAAACATGAATGGAAACAAAGGGAGAGCAGGAAAGATAGGCCCGGAAAGTGGGCTTGAAATAATCACTAAAAACAAGGCTAAAGCAGGGCAAAGGGCTGAGGGGAAATACAGATGTATGCACGAAGTTTAGGGCAGCTCAGAAGTACAGGGCCTGATGAGTAGTAACCTGACTAAACCAGACGTATGTGTGTGCATGTGTGTGTGTGCATGTGTGAGTGGGTGTGTCTAGTACTGGGGATTGAGCTCAGGCAAGCATGAGTCATGGCCTTAGCTGTTCTTGCGTTTGTTTTTCAGATGGGCTCTCTCACTTTTACCCAGATGGAGACCCTCCTGTCTTCACCTCTAAGAAGCTGGGATTACAGGCAACTATCATGCCTTCCCTGCTCATAGCAGAATGTATTGAGAGTAAAATTATTTTGCTTTTTTAAAAAAATCATATTCCAGATTGGGCTGGAAGTGTGACTCAAGTAGTAAAATATTTGCCTAGGTGAGTACAAGGCCATGAGTTCAAAGCTAGTACCTCTACAATAAAAAACATGAAACAAAACCTAGTAATAATAATCCCAGATAAAATCAGAGCTAAATTCAGAATTTTTATGCAAAAGTGAGCTTACAGTCAGGTGGTTCACCCCTATAATCCTAGCTATTCAGGAGGCTGAGATCTGAAGGATTGCAGAAAAAAAGCCAGCTTGGGCAGAAAAAAATACTAAGCGGTAGGTAGGGCTTACAAATTGTAGAGTAGTAGCTGAGCAAGTATGAGACCCTGAGTTGAAACTTCCACCTGGGCAAAAACAAATGAAAACAAAAAAACAAACAAACAAACAAAAAAAAAAAACAGACCAAGTGGTGCATGCCTGTAATCCTACCTACTCTGGAGGCTGCATCTGAGAGTCGAGGTTCAAAGCCAGTCCGGGCAGAAAAGTCCGTGAGACTGTTACCTCCAATACATTACTTAGATAAAGCCAAAGTGACGTGCCTAAGTGGTAGAGCACTAGCCTTGAGCAAAACAAGTTAAGGACCAGTGCCTTGGCCCTGAGTTCAAGCCCCAAGACCAGCCAAAAAAAAAAAAAAAAAAAGCCACTGACTGATATTGGCAAAGCCAGGAGTTGATATGAGGGAACAAATACAAATACATGCTTGCTACTTTGGGAGGGTGACAGGAAAGAAAGCAGCGTGCAGCAGGGAAGTCAGACTAGGAACCGGACTAACCTGGTCATCAGATAAAATGGATTACGGCCAGCTATGTGAAGTGGAGACAGAGGATGGATCCAGGACTGCACTTGGAAAGCAACTGCTGAGATAGTAGGGGAAGGAGAGTATCTGGTGTGAGTCCTGGCTTCCTGCCCTGAGTGGAAGGACTGGTGGGAAATGGTGTTCTAGCCCTGAGCTGGTAGTCCCATTTCATCCCTGTCTGTGTAAGCCTGCGTGTAGTCTCTGGCAGGAGGGGTGACTGGGATGTTTTGAGGCTGTCCTGGGCCGATAGCGAGACCCCATCTCTGCCATGACTTGATAGAGCATTTTTTTACTGTTTTTTATTGTGAAAATACTGTTCAGTGGTACACGAGCAAGGTAATGAGTCCATTTCTTATCAAGGATGGTTACATCCTCCTCTGTTCTGTTTTTCCCCTACCATCCCTTCCCTCCCACCTCCACAACTACACTTCCCCATTTTGTTTCTTATAGCTCATAAAGTCAAGATGTGTCTTATAATTGATGGTATCATGGTGTCTGTCACTATGATTGCTGAGATAACTGCATGGTTGGGGAATTAATTCGAGGGATGTGAAGTAGGGTAGTTACTTCTTGCTGGGGTGAACAGCAGGACTACTGGCATTTTATAGACTAGAATGTTCTTTGTGACAAGAAGTTGTCCTATGTGTTACATAGGACATGAATAACACATATTCCCTCTCCAGTTGTGGCAAACAAAAATGTCTCCACAGCTATTGCCCAATGTCCATGGCAGGGGGCGGGGCGGGGAGAGGTGGCGGGGCACATGACCCAATGAAAACTGCTGGTTTGAAGAAAGAGAATAGCAGCCAGCCAGGCACTGGTGGTTCAAGCCTACAATCCTGGCTATTCAGGAAGCTGAGATCGGAGGATCATGGTTCGAAGCCAGTTCAGCAGGACTCTTGTCTCCAATTACCCACCAAAGTGGAGAAAAATAATAACTAGAGATATAGCTCAGTATTATACAGTAAAGCCTTGAGTGAAAAAGCTAAATGACAGCATCCAGACCCTGAATTCAATCCCTAACATTGTGTACACGTACACACACACACGTACACGCGCACATATACATGCACACATACGTGCACGCGCACACGCACACACGCATGTGCACATGCCAGGAAAAGAAAAGTAGTAGCAAGTTCAGATTCCTAAGTCCTCCTACCATGGCACACTGTAAAAACCAGAGGCTTCCTTACTCTAGGAGAATCTCTTCCCATTGGCAGCTGATGGAACAAAAGACAGAATTCTGATGCCATGAGCTGCCAAATTACAGTTCATTTCATTCATAACCTCACGATGAATGAAGCAGAACCTGGACACTTGGTTGGTGAAATATGAAAGCAGACAGAAGAATCAAACTTCCCATAAACCTCCATCTTCAATGGCACTCACAGGCCGGCAGACTTCTGTCCCACCTTGCTCAAGACCCCAGGCCCCCCCCCCAGCTCACTGGCACAGAGCCAGATCTATCTCCTAGGCGTCTTCATCATTCTCATTTTCTAACCTAAAGCAATATTCAGGTTCTAGTAGGTCCCAGGGAGATCCAGAAGACTCCCATACTAAAATACCCACAGAGAACTCTAGCAAATATATATGGCGTGCTAGAACAAGGAAGGTCAACTTTTTGCATCAGGCTAAATTTACCAATGAGTACACTTACTGGAGTTTACACTCAAACTGCTATAGTTCTTTTAACATCCCCTCCCCATCCCTCTGGGCAGTACAGGGGTTAAAAGTGACATTCTTACTCTTCCTAGGCAAATGTTCTAGCCCTAACCCCACAGCTACAAGCAATTCCAATTGCTTTCTCAATTGGTTAATTGAAACTTGGTTTAGATATGGTTTGTTCTCCAAATGTTCATGTACTAGAAGCATGGTCTCCAGTGTCGCAGCACTGAGAGGTGGTGAGAGCCTTTGGAAGTGGGACTGGCTGGTCATCATGGAGTTAGCAAGGAATGAGAGGCCATCCCCTCCCAGTGCTTACTTCCTTTCTTGCTTACATGCCGTCCTACCAGGCGCTGACTGCCATTCCCCAAGTGGCCCACGTGAGTTATTACTGCTTATATACCTGAATTAGAATCAAATAAGACCCAGCCTCTGGTACTTATATAAGAACTACAGTGTCTTGGAGAGAGAATTGTTAGATCATTCTCTTCCCTCAAATGACACGCATGCCCTCCACAAGGCTTTCAGAAACTTATTTCCTGATTCATTTATTTTATTTTCCTGTTTATGTAGTACTGAGGATTCGAACCCAGGGCCTCATGCATGCTAGGCAAGCACTCTACCACTAAGCCACATTCCCAGCCCTCCTGATTCCTTTTTTTTTGTTTTTTTTTTTCGGTCAGTCGTGGGGCTTGAACTCTGGGCCTGGGCGCTGTCCTTGTGCTTCAGCTCAAGGCGAGCATTCTACCGCTTGAGCCACAGCACCACTTCGGTTTTCTAGGTGGTTTCTTGGAGATAAGAGTCTCACGGACTTTCCTGCCTGGGCTGGCTTTGAACTGTGATCCTCAGATCTCAGCCTCCTGAGTAGCTAGGATTATAGGCGTGAGCCACCGGCGCCCGGCTTCCTCTTGATTCTTATATGCACGTCTTTTCATGTCTCTGGAAAGACCTATTATGTTTATATAAGTGTAAGTAGGTCACACTTTCACAGTGGTTCGTGATGCAATGGTACATGTCCTAATGGATAGGGGCTTGGTTTTGACTCGATGTAGGATATTACGGAGAGCTCTGATGTGGCTGCTCTTCACTGGCAGAAAATGCTGCTGAGCTGATTTCAGTAGAGTAGAAACCAACTTCCTGATGGTGCAGAGACAAGAGTAGAATTTAATTTCCAGGGGAAAAGAAAGAGACAGGCGTGATTCCATCTGGGCAGGAAAAGCAGCAGGGGAGTCAGAACAGGCTTCCTAAGGTTATTCTGCCAG